GCGTGTAGTTCTTACTGTTGTAGTTTGTATTGTAGTTTGATATAATTTGCAGTTAAAAATTTATCACAGATCTACAACTCCTACTCACTGAAACCAACAAAAATGCCTGTTTTATTTTATTGTTTTCATACACAGTTTCATATACAGGGTGACCGAGTGTTTTGGTTAATTTCAGCATTTTTAATCAAATCTTTCAAACCTTTTAAAATATAAGGGCAATAATAACGTAAATTTTAAAATATATTTTTTAGATACACAGTGTGATTCAAAATACTTATTTTCACTATATCTTAACATTATTTTTTGTAGTTTATAAGTAGAATTCTGTACTTTTTTTCTGCTGTGTAAGGTTGTTGTAAAACACCTTCGAAAAATACTCACATTACAATCAATATCTATTGGTTTTTAAAATATAAACATTTTAGATCAAGTTTTTTATACTTTTAGAACTATTTAAACAATAAATAAATTTTCATTCAAAAAATTTCAACCTTTAATCTAATCTATAATAAGCTAAATTCTTGGTATACCGGGTGGGTCTCAAAAGTCCTCTATAACTTTTTTATTTTTTCAGATAAAGAAACGAGATTTGGTATATTAGTATATGACATAAATTGACGTATGCAATTGTATTCGGTCACTTCCTATTTCACCGGAAATGATTACAACTTTTTATTTTTAAATGGCACTCTCGGTATTTTTTAACTTTATTCGATAGAAAACGACACTTTGATAGAACGACATATATCATGTCAATTCTTGACATTTTCGCATATGGCTTACTTGAAATTGTAATATGCGGTTCATAACGACAATTTAGCCAAGTGTTTGGTACAAAATTATTCGTAATATTTCTTCCAAATATGCTAATAAGCCACCCATTTGTTCCATTTGAAAAAAAAAGATATGATTAAAAATACGATTTGGGCTTCTTTTAACCGGCGACAAGACACTAAAAACATTAGGCGATCAAATCTATTTCTCCAAGGCTCCTTCATTAAAAATTACTGTATTTAACAGAACCATGGTACTCTAGATTTAAATTTAAAATACGATTGTTTTTTTAAGAGAAAGTGTCAAAAGTTGACATATGATAATATGTCATTCTATTTAGAGTGTCATTTTCTATCGAATAAAGTGAAAAAATACCGAGGGTGCCATTTAAGAATCAAAAGTTGTATCTATTTCAGGTGAAACAGGAAGTTACCGAAAAGAATTGAGTAAAAAACGTTAAAATCAAAAACATAGTCCACGAATTGAGTAGATACGTCAATCAATCCTAATTTATGTCATACCAAATCTCAAAAAGAAATATATTTTCTTTTTATCATCTTTCAAATAAGTTCAAAATAACCGAGACATTTTATTTTGAAAATTAAAAAAACAAAAATTCTGTAAATTTAGAGAAGCACTGGATCTGTTCTGGGTTTTCTTTCTTGTAAATTTAATCTACTATCTATGTTGCCATATTTTGAAGGTATCACATTTTTTAAAAAAATTATTCGAAATTTTCTCATATTCGAAAGAACCTCATAGACGTGTTCTTGGGTTCGAAATATACTACCTCTAAAAATATTTGCACTTACGTATTTAAGATTCACCCTGTATAGTATTTTTTAAATTTTAGTATTTTAAAATATTTTTTTTACTTTAGATTTATTATTTTTATTGTTTTTTGTTTTATGTTTAAATTTATTATTATTTGTTGCTCAAGTGTTGGGAACCATATAATTTTTAGTAAAATATCGTAATGCATTTGCTATTGATTAAAAATAATTTTATTATGAATACCTTTAATCGAATTTTTTATTCATTTAAAATTTCTCTACCGTTCGTGTAACTGTTTTCGAATAAAATCAATAAAAATATAAATTTTATAAGGCCTTTACAAGTCAATCTCCAATGTACTTATAAAATTAATTGAATATCTAATTTTTACTATTTTGTTTATTTTGTATATTATATAATTTTCTCAATAATTAATTAAAATATTTTTAAAATATTTATTTTTTACAAACTCACCGGCAAAACATGCTAAAATTAATTAATAATTAAAAAAATTAATTCCTTCTTTACGGATGCTACGTCAGATATTTTTATTCCGAATTTATTTTTAGCATAAGTAAGTAACAACAATAAGACGAATTTTTTCCCCGAATTTTGTGACACCCTGTAGGGTGTAGCTGCTGTAGTAGCTATCGCTAAATCAAATCACATTGCAGCCTCAACTTTTGTGAGCATTTTGTTTTTTTAATCACGACATTATCTCTGTTTGTATTGGAGATACGCTGCTTTAAAACAAACGTCTCGGAAAAATGCTTCGCAGGCAGAAAGTTTTGTGTATCTAATCAAGGCGACGCGACATAGGTGAAAACGGATTTGTCAAATTAAAAAATGCCATTATCTGTGGCGGATGTTTCTCGAATTGTGGCTTTAATTGAGGATGGCCGAAGTCAACGTTATGTGTCCGATACCCGGAGTATACCTCGAACAACACTCCAGGAATCAGTATATGGAAACGGGAAATTTCACCAGGCGAGTGGGTTCCGGAAGAAAACGGAAGACAAATGCATTTGACGACCGCTTTATTGTCCTGAATACTTTACGAAATCGTAGAACTACAGCGTTTCAGAATCAACATCTGCTACAAGCCGTGCGTAGAACTCAAGTCAGTGAGAGAACAATACGACAAAGACTAAAAGAAAACAGCTTGTCTGCAAGGAGGCCCCTGCCACAGGACTTCAGTTACTTCCCAGACATCGTCGAGCACGTCTTCAGTTTGCACGTTTACATGTGAATTGGGATATTGAGGAATGGATTAAAGTCCTAGGATAATGGACCAAAGTCCTAAGATAATGGACTAAGTTTTAGTTAAAAAGTTTTTTTTTATAACAGCGTATTTCCAATACAAACAGAGATAATGTCGTGATTAAAAAAATAAAATGTTCACAAAAGATGAGGCTACAATGTTGATATAATTTAGCAATAGCTACTACAGCTGCGGCATCCTACAGGGTGTTACATAGTTCGGTCAAAAAACTTCGTCTTATTGTTGTGCCCTGTACAGGGTGGGTCAAATTCAACGCTTTTAAATGGAAACACCCTTTTCTATAGGAGATAGACGAAAAATAATATCGGTGTCTGGAGCTCAATTTTTGTCAAAAATATGATGTTGAAAACCGCATATCGCTATCTGTTACCGTTTCGGAGTTACGAGGTGTTTTTCAAAAATATGCCTTTTTAACAAATCGCTGTAACTTTTTTGCTATGAAAAATTTTGTATTTTTATGAAAACATTTCCAAAGCACCTTTTTACGTAGAATATAATGGTTTTAGTATAATTTTTTTAAAATTAATAATTTAAGAATTATCAACAGAAAATTTGATTTTTTATATGGGACACCATGTATATTTTTAATTTATTGAAAAGAATTTAAAATTACCTTTCCAAAAATATAACACGCTTTATATTTTGCTCGATTCCTATTCGAGATATAGAATATAAAAAAATGCGCCCGCTTTAAATAAGTAGGCTTTGAACGGCATCGGCTGTAATGCAAAAAAATTCTAGCTGTGAGCATCAATTACAACGAAAATAATATATGCTATGAGAGATGCAGAATTTTATAACAATTTAAAATACATTTAACCAACATCAACACATTTAAACTATATCTAATAACAATAAAAATAAATAGCAACCTAAGACATGAGACATGAGATTTTGCTACAGGTGTTCGACATATCGACCGTCTTCTGTTATAGACCGACGGGACAGTTTTTGAACATTTCTCGCGGAATTCATTAACTCAGTGGGGGTGAAAGATACCCTCTCATAAAGTAAGTATATATCCTCTCATAAACTACGTATTTTTAATTCTTGTCGAGATTATACGGAAGAATAAGGAACCTTTATTCTTCCGCAAATATATACATAGGATTAGATCCATGGGCACTAAGTCAGGCGGCCTCGACGGCCAACGGCTGGGATCTTGGTTAACTATTCAATTATTCTTGAAATTGTCTGCAAAAATTTGCTGATAACTTCAGCGTTCAGAGGCGGTGCGTCGTCTTGCTTGAAAAATATGTTTTCGAGTTCCATTAAGGGCATATCATCAATAAGGGGTCCAAAGCCTACTAGTTAAAAGTGGCGAACTTTTAAAAATTCTGTATTTCGAAGGGGATTATAACAAAATATCAAGTGTGCTATATAATTTTGGAAAGGCAATTTTAAATTCTTTTCAGATAATTAAAAATATAGAGGGTGTCCCAAATAAAAAATCAATTTTTCTGTTGATAACTTTTAAATTATTAATTTTAAAAAAATTATACTTAAACCATTAAATTCTACGTAAAAAGGTGCTTTGGAAATGTTTTCATAGAAATACAAAATTCTCCATAGCAAAAAAGTTACAGCGATTTGTTAAAAATTCACATTTTTGAAAAACACCCCGTATCTCCGAAACGGTAACAGATATTGATGTGCGGTTTTCACCATCATGTTTTTGATAAAAATTGAGCTCCAGACACCGATATTAGTTTTCGTCTATCTCCTATAGAAAAGGGTGTTTCCATTTAAAAGCGTCGAATATGACCCACCCTGTACATGCTCAAAATAAATTCGGAATAAAAATTTCTGACGTAGCATCCGTTAAGAAGGAATTAATTTAAAATTTAAAAAAAAATATCAAAATATAATGAGTGGTTCGCGAGAAATCCAACTTTGAAATTGGGACTAGTTTTTAGTGGCCGGTTTTTTTGCCAATTGAAAAATATTATTAAACAAGAATTTAATGATTAAAATGGACATAATAAAACTGTTTCACAGAACTTTATTTAAAAAACTACTGAAATTTTGAAACACATAATCAAGATATTTTGGTTTCATTGACAGATGAACTATAACGCCATTTTCATCCCATAAACTGCTGTCGTATTTCTTGTAATTCTCATAACAAATTAAATTAAAGACACTTAGGACAAATAACATAAAACTTTGACATTTTTTTTATACCAAATAAGACTTTTACTTTTATATTTTGTTTGACGAATTCCTTGAAGTGTTGGGCACTATCGAATGAAAATGAAGAGAACTTCAGTCAGTCATCTTACACCTATTATTGAGGTTAGTATATAGAAAATAATTATATAACCAGAATTGATTTTTTAAACTCCATGCAGGTTTTAGTATATGTATATTCTTAATTAGGCATAATGTTCTAAATTAACACAAAAATACATGCTTTTATATAATTACAAAAATAAATTATAAAGGATGAAAATCAATATTCTATACAAAACTTTTATTTTTTGGGCACTTTTTGGGAGGATATAGCGTATAAGTTTTATTTTAAAGTCTGATGCAGACGAAAGCATTTCGGTGTTATCGGAATTAAATGTTTTGGCACGGCAAGTATATGTGAAAAAGCTTCAGTTGCCACAGTTGCCTCTGTAGTCCAGATTTGAGGGTCTACCATCGATGTCTTGGAAAAATAGAATAGAACCGAAACTTTGAAGATACAAAAAATAATAATGTGGTCGTTTAAAAAATAAAAGATGAAAGGTAGGAAATTGGATCAAATAATTATTTTCATCTATACTCAGAAGACTCATGGCTAAAAGATTTGAGGAGATGGTTTGAACGCTCGTCTGCGGAAATCTTTCGGGCTGCAGTTTCCAGAGCCACAATTGCCATTTGGATCGCCAACCTTCGGCAGGAGAGGGCGTGATAAAAAGAAGAAGAAGAATACTCAGAAATAAATAAAAAAGATATTTTGTTTTTTCAGATATACATATCGTCGGCTTTATGACGAAAAGGCGTATCTCGATTTTTGCTACTTTTCAGGAGAGCAATTTAAAGAAAATCACTTACTTTATTTGGTCAATAAATGTAAAGTCTTTAATTTTTTAATAGTGTTTTTGTATTAACACTTAAACGGAGATATTGAGGAAGCGTTCTGAAGATAAATTGAGCGTAAATTCTAATAAATAATTTATTTTTAGTTGTTTAATAGAGATAGGCCTTTTTGTTATAATAATAATAAATTTATTTCCGAACGAATATTATACATACGCCCATGTAAAATAAATTTAAAAATGACGGTAAAGTGTTCTTAATAAGAAAAAAAATGATACAATATTCACATTATGGAATACTTACAAGAAAATACAATACATACATACAAGAAAAAATCTGAAAATCGCCATAAAATCAGAAACAAATATTTTTAAATACTTTTATTCGCGTTGGATTAGATCAACTGAAAACAAAGACAATTTTCATGCCAGAAGCAAAGATTACAATAATCAATTAAAATATTCTTATCTAGCTTATTTTAATAATATTACTTTTTATACAAAAATGCATTTTTTTAACTAATATATTTTTAGTAATTGTTTAGTTAATTGAGGGCATTAATACAGGGCATTTAAACTCACGGTCCATATAATATAAACCAAACTAAACAAAAAGAAAACATGTTTCTTCATTCGTTTTTTTTATACAAATAACTATGGAGTAACAGTTTCTGTTTTCCCTGTTCCATCATAACAAATTCGACTTCCATTCTACGTGTTTATACTGGATGATATGCAAAGCATATGATAGCAAAATAAATAAAATTTTCGAAAAATTGGTAGGGATGACAATGCCAATGGCCTGACAATGATAATGAAATGAAAATTACTGTATTTTTCGGGCAAGTTTTTGGTTCGCTAAAATGTTCTTAGAGAAATTATGATTTCGGTAAATTTTCCATTTGGGGCACTTTTCGTTTCGTTGTTTTGTTTTCGATCAAAATTTTCCTTTTTTTCGGCCATTTTTTCTCGGACAATCTTTTGCATACCCGATACAGCTATGTGCAGAGTCTAGCTCATTCTAACAATGGTTTTTGGCAAAAAATAGACTCTAAAATCACACTGTAAAAGAGCTGCTGCCATGATAGAAGTTGTCCCAAGCAACCGTCAGAAAATAATTAGGTAGAATGGTGTGATTTTTTCTCGCATGCATTTTCATAACTTAAAACAAAAGGACCTATCTCAAATTCCATCTTTCTTGTAGTATAACAATTGGTATAATAATAATTGATATAACAAAGAGCCCTATCTCAACATACATCTCTTCGTCATAACGAAGAATTGTAGTATTTCAGATGGGGCAAATTTTTAAACTAATATAAAATGAAAAAGATACAATATTGAGATGCACAAATTCGCTATGTTAAAATATGACCCATTGGGCATGTCATGACGTTGATATCTCAAAATCGCCAAAAATCGAGATACGCCTTTTCGTCATAAAGCCGACGATATAATAGCTTTATACTATAGAATGATATTTAAATATTACGATTAGCTCGAACATTTTCTTTACTTTTAAAAATGTCTAAAATATTCTTACAATTGCAAAAGAATTTAACTGAGTACATAGTTGCGCAACTTTAGAAACAAATAAAGTAATTTTAATACAAAAACATGATATTTTTAATAAAAAATTGTGTATGCACTATGTGCGCATATTTGAAGTGAAAATTCGTCTTACTTTCGTCTGCTTGTGTGTCAGTCTGACGACTTCATTTGGGTTCCTCTATCTACGTTACGAATTCCAATCGACCCATAATAATTATGGGTTCCATTCATTTTTCTTAATTATTAAGAAAAATCCTGATGATTTCGTTTATTTAGAGGCATCGGTTCTAAACGTCGAAGGCGTCATCTTGTAGCCCGTCTCCAGTTATGCCGAAATCGACCCACATTTTTCTTCAATATCAAATTGTTAATTCCACACTGATGTAAACGAAACGTCGCATCCAACTTTTCAGGGTGGGACCGCGTGCACCGTCGCTCACATAGACTACCCACCAAATTTGGTCGCGATCGGACGACATCAACTTTGGACGTTTCTTACGTCAAACCTAACCGTCACAGTAACACGTTTCAAGTTGGCCTTGGTCCAGTCTATCGACATACCAAATTTCATTTAACTCGGACGTATTTTTGAATTGATTCATTGATGATGGAGTTTCATAGTACTCGAAACGTCGTCAAAATATCATGAAAAGATGGGACTCTTCGATTTCCATCTACATTCCGAGTTTCAGCCCTCTAGCTCAAATAGGATACGAGTTACGACGTTCCAAGATCGATACCATTTTTCTGACGCCTGGCGACCTTGGCGTGACGCTTCGCGTAACGCTAGCTCTTGTGTCGCGGTCTTGAGTTTTTACTCCCATAGCACGTAAAGAAGTTTTATTTCAAAAATAAGAACGAAATTAACCTTTGCAATGTCAGTTATAAGTTTATCTATCTAAGAACTTGAAGATTCCATAACCGATGTTTGTTAATTTTTTATAAACAAAATTCTAAGTTGTTTCGTATATTATATTGATGGCAACTGTTTTTAATTAGGAATATAGTGCGTCTAAATAGGAACATTTAACTTATTTAAATAATGACGTGTTCATCGTATTTTTAAAAATTATGTAAAAGTTGTAATATACTTGTGTAAATAAAATTTCGCTTTAATCATTCTAAATACTTTATAACCTCAATTTTTAATATTATAAGTAAAAAATATATTTAAGTATTAACATAAATTTATGTTATAACACATAGTGTGTTTAATAACTATAAAAAATTAAAATAATATATTTAAATATATGCTTTAAAATAGTATTATATTTCGCTCAATTAAATTCTATTTGAAATACAAATTCAAACAATTATTTATAATTGCATTTTAATATAATAATATATTGAAATAATATTGGAACAATAGTATGATTGAATAAACACACTCTTAATGGACACATGTTTGTATTAGTTTGTTTAAATAATATAATAAAAATATCTGAGTTCACAATATGGAAAGTAGCAATGGGGATTATTTTTTAGACAAAAATAGTTTCGGGAAGATCTCATCCTACTAATATTTTGAAATATTGGTGATATTGCAGATTAAGTACGTGTATATTATGTATATAGGTATATTGATAGATATTGTAAAAAACATTTTTGAAAACTTATAATTTTAACTTTTTTTCAAATTTTGTTAGTTTCAAATACTCACACATCTGGAAACCCATTGCTCCTATCTAAGAAAGGTTTTGACTTCTTGATAGTATTTTTTGTCTCAGAAATATTATTGATAGCTACGTTTCAAATTGGCACCATGTCTATATTTTTGCTGAATATTAAAAAATCGTACGTTTATCCGCTATTTATAAATTTCATATTTATATACGAATATTATTAATTAGGATATAATTCTAAAATGTAGTAAATTAATTTTAAATATGATTATTTTCTTTAAAAAGACACTTTTTGTTTTTTTTACGATTTAACTCTTTGATATACAGGGTGGGTCTTAAATAAGTGCAAATATTTTCAGGGGTGGTATATTTCGATCCCAGGAACACATCTATGAGGTTTTTTTTTGAAAAAAAAGATGTTGAAAATCGTGCATTTTCTTTTAAATTTCCTTGTTTATTTTTCGACAACTTTTTAGAACTGCCCGTTTACCGCCAATTTTCCCACGGTATAATTTCTTAATCTCTGATATTACCATAGTTACGGCTTTACTCCATGGTTACAAAGGGATGCAACAGAAAAAATCCGGTGGCTCTCAAAATTTATTCAAAAAAATCATTTTTTTTTATTTTCGAACTAAAATGACTCGGGTATTTTGGACTTATCTGAAAAATGGTAAAGAGAAAATATGTTTTTATCGAGATCTACCAGCCCTGAAAATATTTGCACTTATTTAAGACTCACCCTGTATAACTGTTTACTACTCTAAAAAATAGAAAAAATATTAATATAACTTGTTTAAGAAGTTTCGAGATTTATGGGTAATAAAATATATTTATTTTTAAAATTATTTATAATTTTTGAAGAAAGAATATTTCCTCTAAGTCCAAATTTGGAAGTAATATAATTTTCTATTACTTTTAACTGCATCACTCAATTTTAATAATATGCTTTCAAGCAATTTTGTAAAATTTATACTGTTCACGATAAAATTAGGTGGATAGCTATTTTCTATTCGTTTCAAATTTAAATACGGGATGAGATTAAATACATAATAAAGCTCTTTATAAAGCACTTTATTTTAATTTTATTTTGACT